TCTGGGAATTCTTCTAAGTGTTGCAGAAAACAGGATTTGGAACAGCCCGGTCCTTAAATTCCCCACTTTGCTCTCTAACTATTCTTCACTTAGGGACAATTAAAATTGGTTGGAAGCTTCAACCGGGTTCTAGGCAAGCAAAACAGGGCAATTAAAGCCGTAGACAAAATGTCCAAACCGTTGAGAAGGTCCCGACTTACTCATCGTTTATTGCATTTTCATTTAAAAGAAATATGTGTTCGTTGAAATGTCTCAAAGGCAACTGGACTTTCTTAGTTTTTCCTTGGAGACGTTTCACTTCTCATCTAAGAAGCTTCATCGGTTCTGCCAGGATAGTGGTGGTGGGGGAAATGGAAGGGTTATATTTCTTGGCAGTCATCTGGTCGTTTGCACACTCTCTGAGAGCCATTGAGGCCACTTGGGGGATGTGCCCTCAGGGTCACCTGAATCAGAGGGCAAGCGGGTGTGGAACCTTCTTGTAACTACTAAAAGAACTGCGTTGTAAACAGGAGATAGGTGGAGTCTTATCCCTCCCTCTCTGTTGAGAGAAGTCTGTTCAGTTTTAACCTACAGTAGTGGCCAAAATTGTGGAAACCTTTTGGGAAAAGTGTACAGTAGAAATGCCACCTTTGGTTAAGTTTCCACCCATTTTTCTTCTAATTTCTTTATAACTGTAGCCTTGTTCACTTAGTAATACTATTTTACATCGCTTTCTGGGCAACCAATCAACTCTCGGCACCATTACTTTTATTTTATTATGTTTTACAAGCTCACTAAATGAAAGATCACAAAAAAACCCCAACCAACTTGATAGCCATCACGTAACACATAACTGACAAGTGTCTTCCTCTCAGCTTCAATACATGACATCAATCACTGAACCCTACTGTGATCTGATTGGCTCATTGCCAAAACAAGATGACACCCGATTGGCTCTCTAAACGCTCATGCTCATTGGCTACAATCGGATGAAGGAAAGCTACCTGAGATCAACCTAAGCAAGTTGTGCTTCCTTTTTCTGGTTATTTGGCTATAACCTTTCATAGAATACAGTACAGATAATTGAACAAACTTTGTTGCATTACATTCTCGATTAAATTATCTTTCCATTGATATATAATTTTATGGTACTACTCCAAAAAAAGAGGTGTTATTAGCCATCAAACCTCAAAAATACACTTTTCTCAAAAGGTTTCCACAATTTTGGCCCCTACTGTAGATGGCCCCTTTTATCCCTCTTTGAAACCAATGGTCCACATCCTGGATAGAGAGGACCATCGGCTTGAAGAAGGTGGACTTCAAGTCCTAGAATTCCCCAGCTAGCCACCTCTCTTAAAGTTGCATGGCATAGCTGGCTGAGGAATTCTGGGAGTTGAAGTCCACCTGTCTTAAAAGTTGCCCAGGTTGAGAAACGCTGATCTAGGGGAAGAATTAAAGTCACATACATAGACCACAACACTTCATACTGTCTATTGCACGGGCTGTGACAGTGTTGAACTCACAACATCTCTACCACCTTTTAATTGGAGGTGTCAGAAACTGGACCTGGAACCTTTTGCAATTGGTGTCACAAATCTGGGTGAGCCAACTGCAGATATTCTAGCACTGGGATGACAGAACTGCAGCCTTCTGCAGTGTGTATTGCGGTGAATCTTTAAGGGTGAAGGTGGAGGACAAGAAGAAGGGAGAATGCCGAAGTGGTATATGGTTTTTAATGGCGGCGTTAGTTAAGATCCCCATGAGTTGAGATCGACTCTTTTATGTTGGCATGGACACAACTGTGTACATTTTCTTGGCAATCATACTGAAGTGCTTTATTAATATATTTGTTCAGTATGTTCTATTGCAGACATGTTAAACACAAGGCCCACGGGCCGGATACGGCCCGCAAAGTGGTTTCATGTGGCCCGCGAAGCCATCCTGGAAACAGTGAGGGAACGGCCCCTGCTGCCTTGGCCCTGGCCCAGGCTGGCCGGGAGGGAGCCAATGTACAATTTTGTGGTGGCCATCTATGCTGAAATGCATTCAGTCTTAGCTCCATAAGCCCTCCCCCCCCCACATGGCCTGAGAGGAACAGTGAGGCTCCTCCAGTGGACCATGCCTTGGCGCTTGCCCCGGTCCCACCCCCTTCTACCAGAGACCCTCAGATCTATCCCACTCCTGCCCAGGCCCCCACAGGCACCCTTGACGTGAATGATGTAGAGCTGGTCACACCCACCCAGCAGGCCACACCCACTCCATCCACGCCCACCCAGTAAGCCCCTTGAGGGCAACCGCAATGCTGATGCAGCCCTCAATGAAATTGAGTTTGACACCCCTGTTCTATTGACTTCCTACTTGAACCTACAGCCCTGAGTGGTTTCCCACCCAAGTCTTAACCTGGGATGATTCTATCCGATTGAGTCCCAAGAAAAACAGCTAGATCAGCGGTTCTCAACCTATGGGTCGCGACTCCATTTGGGGTCGATCGACCATTTCACGGGGGTCGCCAAGCAAGGCTGTCTGCCATTTTTTTCCCCTTTTCCGGCGGGTGCCTTACCTCCCTTGGGCTGGGCCAGCTGGTGGTTGGCCTGCTCCATCTCTGCCGCTTGCCAGCTACACCTCGGCCGGCGCAGGGGGCGGAACCACGCATGCGCGGCGCTCCCGGGCAGGGAAAGTCCTCGACTTACGCCCGGTTTAGTCCTCGACTTACGCCCGGTTTAGTCCTCGACTTACGCCCGGTTTAGCCCTCGATTTACGACCGGTTTAGTCCTCAACTTACGACCAGTTGGGGTCGCGGCATTAAAAAGGTTGAGAACCACTGAGCTAGATGCTGCTGTTTATTGACATGCAATCTTCATTTTTACTAGCAACATATATCACTATCTAGGGTTGTTGAACCTGTGGTCAGTTGTGCAACCCAGAGTGCTCCATGCTACAATTCCAACTGTCCAGTTTTTCCATAACCACAACCACAACTCTCCACAGCAGTGAACATTATCAGACTCTATCTCCCTTTTCTTCACCATATTTTCCTCCTTTTTTTTTTTTTTTACTTCTACCAATCTAGGTATTTTCTCCCAATCCCATTGATATCTCCTTCTTCTGTGTGCACAGATTAAAATGTTGACTGTGTAAGTGACAGCAATAAGAGCCTGGGTAACACCCACTTGTTGGATAACCAATAAGTTTGATGCATTCTTTTGTCTTTGGTTCTGCATCGTAAGTCTGAAGAAGACCGCCTACATTTCAGACACTCATAAATTCCCCCAATTTGCTGCAGGCTTCCAACTCAGGAGCAAGCAGGTTTGACATTATGGGACTCGCAGCCGATCAAGATGGGGAAGCTATAATAAAATCTATAAACTTGATTAAAATCTCAAGAGTCTCTCTATTGGATCCAGCCTTGAAAGCAATTTTAGATGGCTCGCTCAGAAGACCTAACCACGTGGATTTGCGCAAGCCTATAAAATTATTGTATGGTTTGACCTGTAAGGTGATGGTCGTTTTCTAACTTATATTAGATCTTTGTAGGGTTTTGTGCCTCATGGCAAACCTCTAAAGCAGGGCTCCTCAACCTTGGCAACTTTAAGACTTGTGGACTTCAACTCCCAGAATTCCTCAGCCGGCTGAGGAATTCTGGGAGTTGAAGTCCACAAGACTTAAAGTTGCCAAGGTTGAGGACCCCTGGTCTAAAGCCTTTAAGGCTAGGTAATGCCCAATAACGTTCTTTATCTGACTTTCTCATCCTCTTCTATAACCAAATTAAACAAATGCATTGAAGTTACCTGTATGCCAGTGGCTGTTATGTTCCACGTTGTACTACGACTTTCAGTCGATGGGGGGGAAAAAACAATTGGGACATTGTCTTGTAAAGGCAGTCCTCTCAACTTACACCCATTTGTTTAGGGACTGGACAAAGTTACAGCGGCACTGAAAAAAGGGACTTACGACCGTTTTTCATCCTTAGGACCATAGCAGCATCCCCGTGGTCACGTGATCAGAATTCAGGCGCTTGGCAACTGGCGTGTGTTTATGAGGGTTGCTGAAATGAGGGATCCTTGGTGCTCTCTGAGCTGGGTTGTTTTCTTGCAGATGTTTCATTACCCAACTAGATAACATCATCAGTGCTGACACTGGAGGATATGTGCTGGAGGATATGTGGAGGAGGAGGGGGAGGAGGAGGTGGTGGTGGTGGAGGAGGAGGACGACGACTGTGGGGTCCTTGGTGCTCTCTGAGCTGGGTTGTTTTCTTGCAGACGTTTCATTACCCAACTAGATAACATCATCAGTGTTAGAATGGAGTGGAGGATATGGGGAGGAGAAGGGGGAGGGAGGAGGAGGAGGAGGAGGAGGAGGAGGACTGTGGGGTCCTTGGTGCTCTCTGAGCTTGGTTGTTTTCTTGCAGATGTTTCATTACCCAACTAGGTAACATCATCAGTGCTGACACCATCACTAGCACTGATGTCATTACCTAGTTTGCTAATGAAACATCTGCAAGAAAACAACCAAGCTCAGAGAGTACCAAGGACCCCACAGTCCTCCTCCTCCTCCTCCTCCTCCCCATACCCCCCACTCCCTTCTAACACTGATGATGTTCCCTAGTTTGGTAATGAAACATCTGCAGGGAAACAACCCAGCTCAGAGAGCACCCAGGACCCCACAGTCCTCCTCCTCCTTTTCCTCCTCCCCTTCCCAAACCCCCGCTCCATTCTAGCACTGATGATGTTACTTAATTGGATAATGAGAAGTCTACAAGAAAACAACCCAGCTCAGAGAGCATCAAAGACCCCTCAAACCTTTCAGCTCAGCCTATCTCACTCCCACGGATTCCTGAATGAAAAGCAGGATGTAAATCTAAGAAATAAAGAAATCAAATATAAATCGGAGGTAATCCCTGGAATAGTTTGCCTCCCTGAGTTGTGGATACTCAATCACTGGAGGTTGATTAGGGGACTGGAGGCTAAAGCATATAAGGAACGGCTGCTGGAATTGGGTATGTCTAGTTTCATGAAGAGAAG